GGAGATTCCAAAAATAATATTATATTCAGAGTGTTCCATTTGAAAAATCAAAGTTGCTACTGCTTTCTAATAGAAGCGGCAACACCGCTTTGTCGAAAATATTTTAGTTGGCTAGAAAATGTCCGAATATGCCCTCCATTAAATTTTCAAAGTGATCCGTTGTCTGGTTCACCAGAAACGTCTAATGTGCCATCCACCGTGAATCAGCCTGTATATATTCAAAAACTCTCATTTGAAGTGAATATTTTGTATTTGATATGTTTATGCAAAATTCATACAAATTAATCGACAGACATTAAAATAATCGCGGATACCCAAGGAACAACAAATGAGGGTTGAAAGTAAACATTACTATTATAAATATCAACAAAGTAATGGTTTGCCGATGGTTTTTACTATTTTTCTCGGCTTATTTTCATTGTAACTTAACCAATATCAAATGTGCGAAGAAATAATTATCTGTGTCCACCTTCTCGTTCAATGCATCCAATTGTTTGATCATAGATCGCAACACACCTGCTGGAATATTGCTGCAATGGAATCTTATCGAATTGTCAAGCTCCTCAGCATTATTGAATGTTCGATCCTTGTGAACTCTTGATTTAAATATCCCTGTGAAAAACTCTAATGGGGTGAGATCTGGCGAACAAGGGAGCCACCGTGGATCAGTATTTCATCCTGACCATTTATCACCAAATATCCCATTCAAACATTCCAGTAGATGAGCAGGACATTCTTCATGCACAAACCATAATTCATGTCGTTATTGAAAGCTCAGATTGTCAAAAAAATTCATAAGTTCGTTTTCCAAAAATTGGTTGTGGCAAAAAAGGCCCTATTAATTTGTTGTTGATAATATCGCATCATGCATCATGCAACAAAGAATTCGAACAGTGAAAATAAATTAAGTGTTAGTTGCTAAGTGTTGAATATAAATTAACTGTGATAGTGAAATATTGTTGAAAATAAATTTGTTCAAGACGATTAATTCTTTAATTCGTTGCAGTATTCTGGTTGTGCAGTTAATTAAAATAATTCCCATATGTTGCACACTTAAATGACGACACTGTATAATAGTTAGCATACGTTCGAACACTTATTTTATGTTAGTGTTTTTATTCTATATTATTCCCGCCATGTCTAGAACGGCCATGTCGAACAATCGCGAAACGTCGGTCGAACTGGGAGCGCTCTAGATCTTGTCACAATTGGTTTATGGCTACCAGTGGCGTGATTTTCTTTAGGGCATGATTTACAACAGTATTGATCATCAAAGGGTATATTTCGAAAAACAATAAAGCAATTTTCATTTAAAAAAAATTGTTATAATTTGCTATTCCCGAAATATAAATAGTACCCCTCGTATTAGATAAATAACTATTTTTATTTTGAGCTTATTGCACACAAGGCCGTAGCAAAGGGGGGATCAAGGGTGATTAATCCCCCCTCCTGAAAAATGTGAGTATTTTGTGAGGAATACCAAATAAGGGTGCGAAAATGTGAGGATTACGGCAGCTGAAAGTAAATAATTTTGACATCTTACATTGGCAACAATGCTTATGCCGCGTCTGCGGAATATACAATGCTTTTCTTTATTGTCCCACCCCCTTTTATTTTTTCAATAGGTCAACCCAAAAAATTGAAATTTGGGATAGTGAAATTGATGCTTGAATACTTTATTTTGAAGTGAAATTGACAGGTGAAACTTTCAAGATGGCGACCGTCTGGGAAAAAAATTAAATGGAAAGGGAGTGTCTCGTGACACATCTTTTTGATGCTCCTGACAAATGCTTCACAACCCTAGAATATAATGTCAATATCTTCAACTACTACAAAATGGCGGAATTTTTAATAATTGCCTCAATACATTTACATTCAACTACATAATATAAGGTAATAAGATTGAGTCTGTCGAGAAGATGCTCCAAATGGTTGCTTTGAACTTTTTGACATGTGAACAGCCTATTTGATAATTCACACCGAACATTTTCGAACAGAGTAACGCCAATATCTCTACAAATATTTATTATTCTCTGCCGTATATCCGATATCCAAAATCCAATGAAGCAGGTTCAGTTTCGCACAACCTTTGCTTCGAATAACCCCATAAAAAAAGTCCAAAGGCGTCAATTCTGGGAAGCGGGCTGGACATTCTGTAGGACCTCGACGGCCCATCCAACGACCGAGAAAAGTAGTACCCAAATAGTTTCTTACTTGTCTGGAGTAATGTGGTGGTGCTCCATCTTGTTGGAATATCCATATCGAATTCATTAAGATTCGCTTTGACGATTTCAGTGATGAGATGAGAGGCTCAACAGTAGTTTCCAACATATTCAAATACAGTTCCCCTGTTGAATTTTGATCAATAAATAGAGGTCCTACAATATAGTTTCCCAATATTCCTGCCCAAACGTTATTTTTTTCTGGATATTGGGTATGTGTTATTCGGAAAACGTGAGGGTTGGTGTCACTGCAATAACGGCAATTGCCGTTTAAAAAAGTACATTCGTCACTAAAACAAATATTGTGGAGATAGGTAGGATGCCTTGCGATGGTTCCCGTCATTATTTCGCTGAATTATGTTCTTCGATCAGGGTCATCCTCAGTTAATTGGTGTACCCTTTCAATTTTGTATGGATGATACCTATTCCTCTTCAAAAGTCTCCACACAGTAGAAGGAGACACCTCACAAACATTCGCGACAGAATAAGTAAACTGTTCAGTAATCATGGCCTGCTTACCNTACAAAGTCCCTCAAATATTTTCTACAGGTAGGAAGATTCGGAAAACGTTCATTAAAATTCCTTTCAGTCTCGTGAAAGTTTCGCGTCGCAACGTAAATAAAAATCGCTTCAATTTTTTTTCCAATGGACGAGAATTGACCATTTTAGAGATTGTTGACGTGGTACCTTGTTACTAGTAAAACTTGAAACTAAAAGAGAATATTCTAACTGGACAATGCTGTTCATTGTCGTACTGACATTTTTCGTCGTTTTTATGAACAAAAAATAACTTAACAAACCTCATCAAGTTGTTGGAATTGCCATACGGCACATTAAAAGGAATATTTCTAGAAATATCGATATTGATGTGTTTGTCTTCAGGAAATTAATAAATGTTCCGCCATTTTGTAGTAGGTGTTCAATTTTGTAGTAGTAGGTTCAAAATGATGTATCACAAGACCCCCTCTCAATTGAATTTTTTCCCAGATGGCGCCTAGTCGCCATCTTGATAGTTTCATATGTCAATTTCACTTCAAAATAAAGCATTCATGCATTGATTTCATTATCCCAAATTTCAATTCTTTAAGTTGACCCGTTCAAAAAAATAGAAGGGGGGGACATTACAGAAATGCACTGTATAAGAGCACTGTCAAGCACGGAGAGGCAGTTATATCTTAAGTGATCCAATGCGTTTAGTGCAGTGTGTGAAATTATAGTGCTGCGAATTAGTGAAGTGGAAGTAAGTAATGAGATGATTTTTCAATTTGAATTAAAAGGATTTGATGCCTACTAGTAGACTACCCACTCGTATTCATTATCTTTTAAATATTTATGAAAGTGAATATTTGTATACAAACTGAATTAATATTTGGCTGCTTTGTATAATTGTTAATTTGTTACAAGTCGATCAACAATCGAAATGACAAAAAGGACGCAAGAAAATACATTATTCATTCATTTATTTTAAAAATCAATACTTGGTGCTATAATGCTACAAGTAGTTCTAGTACTTCTGGTACGGTTTTTGGGACTGCGGATAATGTTTCTGGGCATATTTCAGATGTGGGATACTATACAGGATCGAACATTAAAATTGATGATGATTTGAAGTGCAGAAATATCCTTGGATGCCAAAAAAGACATTGAAGTTTCCAGTAAGTGACGATAAAAGAAAGCTGAAATTCCAAATTCAATGAATTGAACGCTTCTCGTGGTTAGTTAACACGAGTTTAGGGCAACAAGGTGCTTTATGCAAATACTGTACATTATTTGCCAGAGATTACGCAGGAAAAGACTCTCATCAGCAGTTGAAATCCTTAGTTACCAAGCCATTCACTAAATGGAAAGATATTTCACATGACTTCAAACATCACAGTGAAAGCCAGTACCACAAATCTTTTGTATTATCGGCTGATAATTTTATGAAGGTGTATAATAAAACTCTACCAAAAATAATGAGTCAGATTAGTAGCGGATACTTAGCACAAATAGCCGAAAACCGGAAACGGCTCATTCCGATTATTGAAACAATTAAATTATGTGAATGTCAGGAATTGTATCAAAGTGATCCGTTGTCTGGTTCACCAGAAACGTCTAATGTGCCATCCACCGTGAATCAGCCTGTATAGGGTACGTTTTTCAATTGTGTTGCGTGGCAAAAATGTTCAATTTCGAAATTCATAGAAATGAATTTTCTAACGTAACTAGTGATTTCGCTATTACAATAATACCCAAAAAATAACTATATTCACTGACTGCAGGAAAACGTTACAAACATGTACAAGAAAATTAAAAAACGTTACTTTGACAAAACTTCAATTATATTACAAAGCCAACGAGTTTTTTTTCATTTTTTATCATTTTTCTTCCTAGCCCAGGGTCGTGGGCACAGGCTTATTTTCATAATTTTTTTCTTGAAAGTGCTCTCTTTGGTTTTATCATGCTGTGTTTTTTTCTTATCGCAATCCGATTTCTTTCCAGTATCTCCTGAAACGTTGAGCGATTTCTTTTCTGTTTTGCACAAGATGCTAGTTTTTTTACCGTATGGTTTTACTTCATCAATGTGGGCCATGCGTTCTGGTTGTTCCGTTTTTTTCTCGGCTTTTTTAGAATCACAAATAGACGACTTCTCACCAGATGGCTTCTTTGCTAATCGATCTTTCACGGAATCACAAATAGAGGGCTTTTCTTCAGCTGTTTTACTGTGCTTTTTTATAGAGTCACAAATCGAGCGTTTTTCCTTGGGAATTTCGTTGGATTTTGCTGGCTTTGTCGCCGAAAATTCAACTGCTTTTTCAGTTTTTTTTGGGGGTGGTTTGTACAGTTCCGTTTCTTTAATAACCTCCTCTAGTTTATCCAAAAATATTCCAGCGTGGTTTTGGTTGAATGTCAGACTAGTTCTCAGGGAAATGCCCTGTTTTCCACATTTGCCGCAAAGAATACCTACGGAAAAAATCCAATTTAACATTTACTGAAGTTGACTCTTGCAATTTCAAAATTTGTTGACCCAACATGTAGTAACCTCAATTCGTCAACTTGGAATGAAAACATCCATTATTTAGAATCCTTTTATTAGTACACAGGGTGTTTCAAATTCGATCTTCACCATTGGGATCTCGGAAACTATGAGAGATACGAAGATGGTTGAATTGAGGCAAAGTCTATGCGGAGATATCCGGAAAAAAACAGAAATTTTGGAAAATAGTTTTTATTTTTTTCTGCCTTCATTTATGAAAGATTCGAAAATAAATTGCACTTCCACATTACCACGTTTTTCCTGCTACATAATGGTGTTTTCAGATTTGCTATCCGACGTTTCGTTTTCCGGCCACCACCATCAACTTTATATTTTCTTAAGGGCCCTACAAAGGATTCCTTCTGCTCTGAATAGAACCAGATTTCCCTTTTTCAATGATGTATCTAAGTTATCATTCAATTTACTGAAGTTGACTCCTGCAATTTCAAAATTTGTTATCCCAACATGTAGTAACCTCAAATTTGTCAATTCTTGTCTGAACTTGGAATGAAAACATCCAGTATTTAGAATCCTTTCATTAGTATACAGGGTCTTCACCATTGGGATCTCGGAAACTATGAGAGATACGAAGATGGTTGAATTGGCGGAAAGTCTATCTGGAGATATCCGGAAAAAACAGAAATTTTGGAAAATAGTTTTTACTTTTGTCTGCCTTTATTTATGAAAGATTCGAAAGTAAATTGCACTTCCACATCATCACTTTTTTCCTGCTACATAGTGGTGTTTTAAGATTTGCTATCCGACGTTTCGTCTTCCGGCCACCACCATCAACTTTATATTTTCTTATGGGCGCTACAAAGGATTCCTTCTGCTCTGAATAGAACCAGATTTCACTTTTTCAATGATGTATCTAAGTTATCATTCTTTTAAGAAAAATTGGAGATATTGAAAAAAATTTATTCTTATCATAATAGGCTTTGACTTTGATGTTTCTAAATTTGACTTTTAATTTGTTACACTCAATTGTGTTATTGTACAAGTCATTGAATTTTTGTCGAGAAATGGCTTTCACAAATGAAGAAAAAAGAGATATGATACAAATTTATTACAAATACGATAGAAACAGTGTTACGACATCGGATATGTATTTAAATTTGTATCCCGAAAGACGGCAATCACATCGAACTATGTTCAAGTTATTGGATCAAAATCTCACCGAGTTTAGTTCATTTGAAAAGTCGAAGAAAAAATACGGAGACAGAATGAACCAGGAAACTAAAGAAAATTTGATAAATGAGGTATATATTAGGTAAGTTGGACATTGTGTCCTTTCCAATAAAAATTAATGATTTGCAGATGAACTTGAACCTGGGAAAATCTACACGTCAAATTTCCTCCAAAATTATTATTTGTCATACAAGTGTTTGGAGACATCTCAAAAAAAGGGGTTCAAAATGTTACAAAATTCACATATCTGAAAAAATGATGGATCCAGGTGATTCCATGAGGCGATTAGAATTTTGTAACTGGCTAATAAGAAGACTTGATTTTCCTGTTTTCCTGAAAAATGTAATTTGGACAGACGAAAGCACTTTTATGAATTGTGGGATATTCAACCGAAATAACGAGCACATTTGGAGCATACCCCAGGCAGTTCTGAGAAATTCGACCTTAAGTGCGATTTAGTATTAACATGTGGGAGGAATTTACAAAGGTAGAATTCTGGGGCCTCATTTATTTGACGGAGTTCTGAATTGACAAACCTATCCCCAGTTTTCAATGTCGATTCTCGAAGACTTATTTGGTTGATCTACCTTTAGCTGACTAAAACAACATCTGGTTTCAACATGATGGTGCTCCACCCCACACTAGCAGACGAGTATCTATTCACCTGACTGAAAGGTTTGGTGATAAATGGACATGGAATAATGGACCGGTCAGGTGGCCAGCAAGATCTCCAGATTTGAGTGTTAGGGATACATTCTTATGTTGTGTAATGAAAAACAGAGTTTATGGTCAGAGAGGATATCAAAATATTGAGGACCTTCAACACAGCGCTGTTAGAGTGGTCGGAATATTGAGGAGAAGGGAAATTAATCGTGCAGTGAATAATATTCGTAGAAGGGCACAGTTGTGTTATCTTGTCTTCACACTTTAATTAATTATTGTTATTTGTTCAAAGTTATATTTTCATTGAAAACGACACAATGTCTTATTAACCTCATACTTCATTTAACAAATTTTGATTGTTGATTCTGTCTCCGTATTTTTTCCTCGACTTTTCAAATGAACCAAACTTGGTGAGATTTTGATCCAATAACTTCAACATAGTTTGATGTGGTTGTCGTGGTTCGGGATACAAGTTCATTCACATTTCCGATGTCCTAACACTGTTTCTATCGTATTTGTTATAAATTTGTATCATATCTTTCTTTTCGTCATTCGTGAAAGCCATTTTTCGCAAAATTTCAATGACTTGTACGATAACTAAATGTCTTCGAGTGTAATAAATTGAAAGTCAAATATAGAATCATCAAGGTCAAACCCTACTATGATAAGAATGATTTTTTTTTCGATATCTCCATTTTTCGAAAAAGAATGATAACTCATGATACATCATTGAAAAGGTAAAATCTGATTCTATTCAAAACAGAGAGAATTCAATGTAGCGCCATTGAAAAAAATAANAAGTTCTCCCAAATGTCCATCCTTGTCCCAAATGTCCATTCATAAATCCATCCTGTTCTTTTAAATGTCACTATTTCATACATACTGAGACAGGTTATATTTACAAAAATAAGTCTTCATTCCTACCATCATGTAGTATCATCATAGAAAAAATAAATCCGTGTGAACCCCGTAATTAAAAAAAAAATAAATGTCGAAGTCAATATATTTCATACACAGAAAGCTGCCGTCATTTCTTTCTCGGATTTTCCCATTATCTCAATATTTAAAATGTCAGTGCTGAAAAAAAATTACGTCAATTTTGATATTTTGACAGGCTATATCTCGAATACTAATCGAGTCCGCCAAAAAATTTATTTCTACCATCATATAGTATTATCCCATCGCGAAAATCCGTGAGTATCCCACAAAGTACAATTTTCCCGAATTTTAACATTCAACAAAACATGAATATACTTGTATCGGCATAAATTATTATTATTTTTTTACGGACAAAACACAAGCACTCTAGGAAAATGTATAAGGCAGTCTTAGAGCCGTGTCTGTGGAATATTTAACGAGTTATCGAATGAAAACAATGTGTCTTTGCCATGCCTTTCATCCTACGAGCAGAACTTACATCTGTTACTAGTACATACACATTCCATTAACTTCATAGAAAAAAAATAACGACACTCTGTTCAAATTTGATCACTCACCATATTTAACAGAAACTCGTGCAGCATTCCTCACTAGCTTCGATAACATCACCCTTCAATTTTGATGTGAAATGTGGAGAGATGCAGATACCACAGAGATGACCCAGTAAGGGCAGGGTGATATCGATCGCTGAAAGAGAGCTTTGCGCCTGTTCTAAAGCTACTTTCCACGTTCATGTGTGATATACTAAATGAGACAGAAACCATAAACCGTCGAATGAGCTGATGAATTCATTTTTATTGAATCTGAGATGTGTTATGTATTTTCGGATACAGACCAAACACTTTTAGATCAAACTTTATTACAAATAAATACTTAAGTTTTGGTACTTTTCAGCTTACCTTACATGATTATAATATGTAATATTATCTTCCCCCTCAAATAAAATTAAAACATGTATCTGTCAGGTTTTTTTATAGTTCTCAGTGATCTACGTAATGTAGTGGTTGGGTTTTCAGATAGACTATTTTCTGCATTATTGTCATAGTCATGACTCCTTTTCACCAAAACTCTCTCATTCTTCTCATTCTCAGTTGCTTTGTTGTCGTAATTAGCACGCACTACCAAAACGAAGTTGATGCGTAGTAACTATAATTTCACCGAGCATTCGAGACTGGAATGGTCGGTAAAAAACCGGTGAGTATGCAAGAGTGTATTTAGTCATGTACGCCATTACTTTCCGGTACTGCCGGAGTGTGTGCCAGGTCCCGCTCCCACATGTGGTTCACTATTGGAATTTGGACGACCGGTACAAAGTCGGCCGTCCAAAATCGGTGTATGTGCAACTAGCGTAATGCTAGTTGCATACNGATCCCCACTTACCTCCCCACAAGACATAGCAGACGCTTTAGCATCAACACTTCAAAAACATTCAAGTAACGAAACTTATACATCACAGTTCATAACTCGAAAACTAGTTGAAGAGAGTACTCCCCTCTCATACGATGAATTAACTGAGCATCCAATGAACTATCCTATTACAATGAAAGAACTTTCGGTCATCCTAGAAGAAACAAAAAATTCTACACCAGGCCCAGATGACATTCCCATTATTTTCCTGAAAATGCTGCCCCAGAATGCCAAAGAACTACTGCTGAAAATGTATAATGTCATATGGAATACGTACGTTTTTCCGCATATATGGTCAGAATCAATCATAGTACCGTTTCTTAAAATAGAAAAACGGATTCGTACAGACCAATCTCATTAACATGTGCCATGTGTAAAGTAATAGAGAAAATAATTAATAGAAGACTGATATGGACCTTGAAAAATCGGAAACTCATCATCATCCCCCAACAAAGCGGATTTAGAAAAAAGAGATCCACTTTCGACAATCTAGTTGACCTTGTATCAGATGTTCACGAAGCTTTTGCTGACTCCCAAGAGTGCAAGAGTTGGCAACGAAATTTCTGACACACTAGCTAGAGAGATTAGCTCAAACCCACATAGTCTATCGAGTCTCTGTGTACCACGTGAAGATTTGATCCATAAAATACGACAATTAACAATAAATACATGGAGGGAAAGGTGGCAAGATCTGCAGAATAACAAGCTCAAAACAATCAATCCTGGCTTAAACTTTCAAAATTACCTATGACTCT